TTCAATCTAGAATTATATTTTTATGTTTACATGCCATATGCTAATTTGAGGGATTTCTTCTTTAATTTGTTTTTATTCTTGACCAGATTTCTGACTTATATTTTTTGTTCCTTAGCAACACAGGCAGGCGCATTATATTTTGACACAATTCACCATTGTTCGCCAAAACACTGAATTAGATGCCAACATGTTTTTTTTCTTTCTCTCTCAAAGTTCAGCAAAGTAAAAAAACTTTTTAAGCGGGGCATGTTCACGAATGGCAACAGTCCGATGCGGAACATTGAGTGCACGTTTTTTTGGAAGATTGTGCCTCTTTCTATTTGCAACTCATTTTTAAAGAGCTTACAAAAAAACTTGTCTTTCGGGGAAAAAATACACTAAGGTGATGCACAATGTATAAAATTCAAGTTCTTACTTATTCAGGACCCTTGGGAAACATAATTTAACTACAAACTGATTGCACTGTGTTCTGTGTTTTACTGCTGATGTGCCAGTTGGCTTTCCCGAGAGTTTACCAAAATTCTAACCCTCAATCCAACTTACATAACCATAAATAAGAGCAAGCTATGTTATAGGTCAGATATAATTCTACTATATGCAGAATAAATTGGCAATAATCGCGGCTACAACATATGGTCGCTGCCATCTTGCTTTCTTCTTTGCTAGTGAATCAATAAGTACAGGTGTTATCAATAAACACTTTGAGACGTCTCATACTCACATGTATTAGACCAGGATTAGTATGGGATGGGAGGGTGGTACAGTGATGACACCTTTTCAATACAGCGATAAGCGCCAGGGTTCGATTCCTGACACGGGTGCTTTTCCGTCTGGAGTTTGTACGTCTTCCCCCTGTTCCGCATAGGTTTCCTCTGAGTTCTACAGTTTCATCGCATAGCAAAGAGAACGAAACAGATGTAACTATTGTTGGACAAAACAACGCAATGCTGAAAAAGGTTACCTCCAAATTACTCAATTGTGACTACATGTAGCAACATCGCCCCCGAATGTGAAAACCTGACAAGACCAACTTGAACAAGTCATGAGACTCAGTGAGGCTTTCAATAATAATAATAAACACATGTCAAGCAGCTTTACATCAGTGCACTTGTTGTGTAACGTAATGAGTACAAATATAACTCATTTTAGTTGGGGTGTCTTTTTTTAGTATTTTCTCAAAAAAAGATTGACCGCCCTCGCATAATGTACTTTTTTTTGTATATATAAAAGATATAATTTTATTTAGCCAAATTGAGCAAACAAACATACCGTAGGACGTATTGACTGTCGTGGCGGCGTAGTGTCAGGTGTACCTATACACGTGATGTTAGTAGGTGCCACAACACGTGCACACACACACATATATAATGGGTGCTTAAATGTTATTTTTTTTAACACTTATATGGGACTCGTTTTTAATGGAAAACTAACGGATAATAATACACAGTAACATGATAACAAATGTATGTTAATAGCTTCAAAAAGTCAAAGAGTCTCTCCCACCTGTTCGCCATCGTTGTCAACACGTGGCCTGGAATCTTCTCCAGGTGGTCTCCAGAGCCCGGAGGCAGCATCACATGTCACGTGGTGTTGTTGCAAATTCTCTGAAGTGTTAATATCTTTTTGAAGCACCCTATATATACCGGGGGTTTAATGACGCATCAATCCAATGAATTAACGCTGACTGTTAACCTCACAGTACGTGTATTGAATCATCTGCGTTAGAGTCCACTTTTTTTAATTCATGTATGTCTTATGTAATGGGTTCTTGTGACCCACCACGTCCTAGCCCACACTTCGGCCAATGGAAGCTGTTACATTCACAACAATACAAAAAAGTAATCGATTATTGAGTAGAATAGTGGCAAACTAACCCTAATTGCATCGCGGTAAGGCGGTGGGGGTGACAATTGTTACGCCATTGAAACACACGTGCACAGAATGTGCCAGTGAAACCGTCAGCCCTTACTAAAAGCAGATAGATGCAGCGTACAGTTCACGCGAATGGCCATAAAGAAGGGCTGGAAATGTTCCCAACGTAATCGCTGCAACATCTCCAAAAGAAAAGGTACAGCGGCCTCGTGTAACCTTTTTAGAAATACTCCGTATTTCCGTTGCAGGCAAAGGTTCCCATTAACTTTACTGAGATTTACATTGTGGATTATTGTGAGTTTACTCGACAAACATCTGTGAGTCTTGGGATCATTTTGTTTCTGACTGCAGTGTAGTGGTGAGATAGTTCAGTGGTATGAATGTGTATGTACATTTGTCAAAGTAATAGTGTGAAAACCCGTTCAGGTTTGCAGCTGACTTTCTTAGCACGGCTTTGAATGCAGTGCAGCTCCGAGTGGTATTACATTTTTCATGCACGCATGCATTTTTTTATAATTATTTATGTTTCTGTGTTTTTGTTTGTAACTGAATGGATATCAGCCAACCGTTGCTTAAAAGGTGTATACACCAAGTTAATGAGATTGTTTTTTGTCACGAAGAAGAGAGAATTATGATAGGTTTTTACCCTTTTATCTGGCAACAAAACAGGTGTTAAGATATTCTTGGTTCTTTCGGTAAAATAATAGTATTTCTCTTCTACATCACTTTACCGAAAGAACAAAGAATACGAATCCCTGCAGTCACGAAAGCTTTAAATCGAAAGGTGTTAAGATGTTAAAACACCAAACTGAAACCTTTTACAATGAATCATGTCTGCATTAACCACAATGCTTGTGGTCAGATTGCAAACAAAAAACATACACTGATAATGATGCATTTTCCTTGAAACTGATTGGCCCACACAAGATACCGCTTTCTTTTGAGCCTCGTCTCAAACAATGTTAGACGAGAGGTCCCACGAAGAGAGAGAGAGCATGTTTGTTACGGGAGCGTCATGTTAGGAATACTAAAAAAGTTTGTGTACAATGATTAGAGGCTCCAACTTGTATTCCTATCTTATTTTTTGCATCACACCAAAACACAAACACAATTAGCCACGAAACGGTTAAAGAGTTACCGCGACAACATCTGATGCGTTAATCCGGATATTACTTTCTCCTGGGGAAATGTAAGAAAAAGACGTTTTTTTTTCATTTTCAAAACTTGAGAGGCAAAGTGCAGTCGTTGCATGCCTGACGTCCCTAACAAATCACGTGCGTTGTTCCAAATCTCCTAGGCTGTATGTATCGCGTCGCATTGCGGCAATGGAATCACTTCTGATGTGTGCGCGGAGCAGGTCACCGAACATCCTCGGTCACGTCTGAGCGGCAGTGTCAACATCCCGCCGTGCAGATTGGCAAGAGGCTCGCACCGAGCCTCCTACCCCCCAGCGGTGCAATGCAGTGGATTACAGACGTCAGTGTCGCGGCTACTTCGGCGCGTCTAACCAAACGAATACGTTCGAAATGGAACGCCAAAGTAATGTTGCGTTGTTATGAAAATCAGCAAACTGCGGGCATGCGCACACACACGTGACGAATTGTACGTGTGAATATGTACGTAGGTGCTGGTACGCCTCGAGCGTGTGTTTGTGGACATATGCTGCAAACATGTGTCTATTAATCGTACAGCACTTACTTGCAGCACTTATATGTGCATGGGTATCTTCTGGTGTGGGTAATCTTCGTCTTTATTACATCTTATTGAACATATACATTAATATTTAAGATTAATATTGAAGATAACATGCATGGTTTGTTTATAAGAATAATACCAATCAAAATAATGTCCTCTTTGTCAATCCACTGCTGTATAAAGGCCTCCCCACACCATGTTGTTCATGATGGTCGATTGACCATACTTCACAATGCTGTTCAGTGCAGTTTGGTGAAGGGCTGAGGGCCAAGAACTGGTTCAGATAATTATCACTCACCACTGGTGCGAACCATGGCCGGGAATCGAACTAAGGTCGGAAGGTTCAGAGCACGCATGATAACTATTGCTCCACTGCTCCACCGCACGCTCGTATACTACTATAATTCCATGTATAGATACGGCATGAAGAGAACCCACAGTGGGAATGTGGAACTTCCACCACTGGCGCAGGACCACCAACAGAGTCGATGAGCTCCACCGCACTGCACACGTGATGAGTGGGGAGACCTGTTGACTTGACACAATAAACAACTTGCACGATGCACCCAGCGTGCAGCAGATTTTCAACGCACTTAGTGCACGGGCTTCCCTCTCGAGCCCGCGACGTGCAAGGTTCGTGTCCTCGCCGGCCCCGAGACGTCGATCCGAGTGCGGCACCTGTGGCACACCCTCGGAGCGGGGCGGGCGAGTCAAGCGCGAACGCACGACCCATCGGTGCCATTCCTCTCGACGGTGGATGAGCAGGAGGACCCAGCGGCCTTGGCGACAACGCAAATGTCAGCTGCTCTCATTAGGAGCCCCTGTCACACACTGCACCACCGTCACCCCTCCCCAACCCCCAACCTCCCCCCCACACAGACCCTGGTCCTCGGCACCCGCTGCACTGCGGAGCTTGCCAGCCGGGGCTGTGAGCCGAATAGAAATGCTTTACAACATCCAAAACGCAAGTGCGAGCCTTAATAAGCTTTAAATTGCCCAAGTGACACCGGCTGTTGGCCAACCGTGAATGTAAAACAGTGACGAACCTTAAAATATTCCTGGAATCACATCTAATTAAAAACAATGTAAAGGTGATACATATGCACGGCGCAGATAGCATCGGATAATAAGCAGGCAGGTCTTTAGGGATTCCTTACTATTATTTTTAAAAGGTCACCTTGTGGGGTCCATTATGACATTTGCGCAACATTACATTAGCGTTTAAAGAGAGCAATGTGATAAAGTGCGGTAATCTGCACACTTCATTAAACATATACTCTGGGCCCAATATTGTAAAAGCTGCAATTATTCTGCACGGAGGGAACGTAACAGAACTTGTGTTGTACAACATTAGGATCATTGCAGAATAAATCACCGGTAAATCCCCTCTATGACATTGTCCAATCGTATTAACATTTATTTACATTTGCATATTCACATGGAAACATCAATGTATCATCAGCCATAAATCGTTTTTTTTTCATTGCTGACCTATTGCTTAAAGCCCAAGTGTATAGGTTGTGAAGATGCATGCCTTCTCTCTGTTTGGTATTAAATGTATTGCTGATGGTTAAACTCAAGTACAATGACAGTATTAAAATGCTAATTTGAACGAACATATTGAACCAACATATTTTCCAAAATCTCAGATAATTGCCCAGCATAGTTCCCGGAATCCCTCAAAAATGAAACCGCAAACAATATGCATCCACCACTTATTCTGTGTTATGATAGATTGGTACTCCAACACTCGTTTTAGTTTTTTTTGTTTAAACATTGTGTACATTTTAGGAGATGACAATTAAACATGCGCAAATAGAAAAAAAAATCGCCCAACAAAAATGAGTGAAATAGTTAAAATTCACCCTTTTGTTTCTGCCAACTTCAAGAGACTCCTCTTAATACGTTGTCGAAGTAAACTCAAACGTTAATAATTAATCACGCAACTTTTTTTCACCAGGTATTAATTTTGCACGAGCCTTTGGAAGAATCTATGACCGCAACAATGTGTCAACCCAAAGTTAAGCCAAGAAACGTCACCACCACCATTAAATGTGGAATCTCATCAGCACTTCTCTTTTCAAATGGAGCAAAGAGGTGACGTTCGTCGTTATTTTTGCAGAATGCTGGCATGTGCTTTACTACGGAACATTTGCTGGAAATAAAGTACGTCTGTGAACGGCCACAAAAATCTCACAACCAAATGTATGGTTCCTATTCTAGCCCTCCCTTTTAACTTTGTTTAAAAGAAATAAGCAGCTTCCATGAGTCTGTGCAAAATAAAGGGTATCGAAACGTGCCGAATATTTTCTAAACTTCCGAACAGCAAAATAAATGTAAGTGCAGAACGTGATAGGTCAAATGGTTGCCGCTGATGCAATGTTGTTTTGCTCTATTTTTGTTACAGTACAATAACAACAAAAAAAAAGTTTCGAGCAAGATCTAACATCTTGGTAAAACTATTTGCGAGACTGAAATGCTTCAGTTTAGAAAAACAGGAGCAGGGGTTAACCAGGGATTACTGATGCATGATGTCACCGTGCGTGTGACACACAGATTCATCATACTCTCATAAATGGCATGCTGGACCCCCGAGGTCTAACTCTTAACCTCCGCACTTCCGGAGTTTTGTCACATGCCAGCCTACAAGGCTGCTGCTGCTGCTTCACAGGAAGGCTCTGTGTGCGTTCGGGAGCACCAGGTTGTCGCCTCACCACGTTTCCCCCAAAGGACGGCCGATGTCTTGGCCACTATACATTGCTGTCAGGATCATATGGCGTTTTCAGTGGGGGGGGGGGGGGGAGTGGAGGTTGAAATGATAGCCGAGCTAGTTTGCATCAGGTTTGACGATTTGACTCCAGTCAAAACACTCCTTTGATTTCTGTGCGGATTCACAAACGTTTGCTGTGTGGTGTACATCAGGGCCCGTGTTCTGAGTCAAGTCTCCAATTAATGCGGTTGGCTACATACGGCGTGAAAGAAGTTCAACATACATACAAGCCTGAAGTTTTAAAGACAATAGAAGATAGTGGAAAAGGATAGGTAATTTTATGTTGTCGTAGCCCAAATCCATCATCACCATCATCATCTGACCAGCTGGTATTTTGCAAACAACAACATGGCTCTCTGTCTTTCTGTCTTCCTCAGTCTCTGTTTTTCCCGAGGCCTCCCACTACAACATAGTTCTTCCTTTCTTGCTTTTTTCCCTTCAAAATTACCTACAATTAGCTACATAGCGACGTTCAAATAGATCGTCCTCGCTGAAGAGATAAGGAATCACATTAGGTGCTGACCTGGTCAAGTAAACTGAACCGAAAAACAAAATCCAATCTTCACTCATATTTCTGAGCACTGAAAATCATCACTGTGGATTGTGATGTCCTTTCGAAGACAAAAAAAAAACTGAGACAGCCGTCCCGCGCTTCCATGCAGCGCAGTGATGCTGTAGGTTCATCTTCACAGCAGCCCCTGTAGCGTGACCTTGCTTAAAGGAAGCGGGATACAACAACTCTGGGGAAGGGGTGGGGGAGAATGGCAGTCAATGTTAAACAAACTAAAAAAAAAATGCTAAACAGAACGAGTTCCCGATATGAGCAACGGCTACAATGTTCATCGCTTAATTTTTTCTGCGTTTGTTCCACCCCCTCCAATCAACACTTTTAAATCTCGATTGATAACGTATATTTCTTGAGAACCGTTTTTTTCATTTAATTTGTTGTCCTTCCCCCCCGCACCTTCGATTTACATGATTGGCTACGTACGTTGGGAAAGAAGTTCAACACACAGACATACAACACTTTTTAAATTGTCGGATGAAGGCTTCCCCAAGCTGCCGGCATCTCTCATTATCACGCGATGTAACAATCCACCTGACCCCTGTAAATGAGCTGATTTAATTGCTCCATCTCCTCCGTAGACGTCCTCTTGGACGCGTTCCATTCCTTGTATGCCTCTCCATCATTGTTCTTCACCGCGTGCTATCATCTCTTCCAGCGACGCGTCCTGCCCAAGCCCAAATGCTTTCTGAACGCTTTGAATGATGTCATCAACGTGCGTATTTGCTCTCTCATGCCGGCATTGCACTGTCGCTCAGTGTAATGCCAAGCGTGCATCTCTCCCTGCTTCTTAGTCCACTTTTCGGTTTTAGAGTTGTTTTGGTTAATGACCATTTTTTTCTGAACCATGTATCAGAGCAGGCAGTGCTGCACTGGTTACAAAGTTTATTCAGGCAAATAGGAACTTTTTTTTATAATACATTTCAGCTTTCTAAAAGCACTCCAATTGGCTCTCTTTCACCTTTTCATTTCATGCCATTAAATAATTATTGTCGAGGATATATTTACGTACAAGTCATATTAATTTGTTGTCGCGATGGCTGTTAGATATTGCTTGTCATGCCCTGCATGGCAGGAGATTTCAACATAGTAGTTACTTAATTTCAAGCGAAGTCAATCCAGGGGATGCCCAGACCTGGTTCAGACTCAAATGAACAATGGTGTATGGCACATGGCCACGCATTGGACCTGTATCAACAGGAACATAGCGCAGTGTGTGAATACTATTCACTTTGCCTGTATTTAAGTGTACATAGACGCAATCACCTTGGTTCTGGTTGAGTCATCCAATTGAGAGGCTAAGTGATCAAGGAGTGGTGGAAAACAATTGCACGTCTTGTGGAAAGGACAGACAGACATTACGTAGATGAATGACAGTTGCATGCGCAAAAGCCACGCAAATAGCCAGACACATTTTGACCAGAATGACAGTCAAACAGATATCCAGATAGACAGAGGGATTGGAATGTGTACGTTCAGTCAGCTAGACAGACACAATAGTAAACAAACATGCAAGGAGACAGTCACATAGTCGACCAGATAGAAAGACAAAGAGAAAGCCAGCCATTCTCATTGCCGTGCAGAATCAATGTGCAAGACTGATACTTTTTTTGGTTTGTTTCCTTAAAGGAAGAGGACACTACTCAGTTGTTTTCAGTGGCTACGGAGCATTAAAGGACTTGCTCCGTTCAGCGTAATCGCGGACCCGCAAAACCCCGAGCATTTTATTCCGCTGTCAGCCAGGCCATTGAGCTCGTCCACACAATAGCAGCACTGTCGTCAGGCCTTAATGAGCTGTTTGGAGGCACAACGTATCAATGGCCGTTGTGGTAGCAGGATGTGCCAGAGTAGACAAGTGGACCAGTCAGACTCCCATCCAAAAAAAAACAACTCCACCCTCTGCGCCAGCCACCGACTCAATAAACAGGCCCTCCCAACCCCACTGTGCCACGATAAATCATAATCGCACACTAATTGCACCTGTCATGCCACGGTCACGGCTCATTCTGCCATCCTTCACCCTGGGTGCTATGCCCATCCAAAAACCCTGAAATGCTGAGCGCCAAGAGCTGGTCCGGCGTGCGCTTCTCCCCCGCCGGGCCACTTGGCTCTTCTTGTCCCTCCCCTCCTGCCCGCCTGTCGCTCACCCCCGAGTTGTCCGCTTGCACTCAAGAGGCTTCACGTCAACTGCTGCTGCCGCTGCTGTGGCTTCAGAGCACCGTTTTATTACACCTGCCGAAGCGCCGCGGCACTGCTCCCATTCTTTGGTGGGCGGCCCATCGCCCTTTCATCCTGGACAAATGTTCACGCTCGTAACGATGAAGAAACAAACAAAAAAAACATCAGTGATGCTGGGCAAAGACAGCACTTCCACATTTTAAACAAATGTGTCCCGTACCATTTCTAAATGCAAACGAGCATTTGGTGAAATATAAATTGTTTGTCAATGTGTTTAAATTAGCATCAATTGCCGTGGAAATGTGGAATTTTCACCACTTGTTTCGGAGACATGAATAGACCTTTGCCTGAAACACTTGTCTTCCTCTTTCTGTATGTGATTGAGTGTTGTTTTTTTGTAATATGAGACTGCAATTGATGTACACTTGCTAAAGCTGCACGTATTCCACTGTCACTTGGAGAGAAATGCTCTCCATAATAATGGAAGCGTATTTTAATCACTTAAAGCCTCTTATTAAAGATGTTCGTGAATAGTATAATGGAAGATGGCTTGCTACTTTATCATTTGCTTAAAAACACACTCTTCTCAGCAAAGTACCCTGCATAGTCATTATTTGCCAGTCTTAAGTGGGACCCAAAAGAATTTGCTTTCAATATTAATTATATAATTTTCCAGCAGGTGATTTTATTTTTGTAATTTCAATCCATTCCTGAAAGAAGTATTTTTTCAAAACATCTCCCTTTTATCGTAACTGACCCTGGCCCTTTTAGACTAAATGTGATTTCTGCCATTCGGTATTGAATTACGTTACTGTGAAGCCAGATACCTGAGCTCCCATTCTCATTTAGGGCACTTAAGGGTTGACTTTCCTGCAGCAGCTGTTACCATAGCTCGCTTGCACGTATGATCCATCAAGCAGCCTCCGCACAGAAGTGGCAAGAGCCAGGAAACATCATATGGCATGTCGGCTCATTTTAAAACACAACCCTCATCTCAAAGAAAGCAATACACAAATAAAATAAAATACACTAATCTTAAACGCCATTGCAGAGCAAACAACATAACAAGTATTTACATTTTCATTATTATAATAATATTGAAAGTCATGTTTTTATGTTTCTCTTCTCCATAACCTTCTCAGGTACATTGTCTGTGTAAGATATACCCCCAAGGAATTAGAATAATAGAATTAACCATCTGCTCCTCTATCTGTGTTCACAGAAATGGGGCCCTTTTTCGGTTGCTGTGCAAATAGTCATCTGAAAACAATACCATAGAAAAGGGCTTTCTGCAGTTCAGTGCCCTTCTAATCTTATCTTTTATGCAAAGCTAAAGGATAAGAGCAAGGAGGTTGTAACGTTAGCCATTCCGCCTGTTATGCTGTAAGGTTTATTTAATTAATGTCCGAACAGCTGGGCTTGTTAAACATTTACAGCGCAGCTTTCCTTGAAGACACAAGCCATACGCTTTGCTAAATGGCTCTTATCTGTAATGTCCATTAGCATTGTAAAAACACACACACATCACGCTCTATTTAGAAGTGATAGGCCACAGAGAGGATATGCTCCGATTTTCTGTTCTTTTTCGCCCCCCCCTTCCCCTCCTCTGCTTGTTCGTGCAACACCGTTGGAGCGTGCCTGGAAATGGGAATGGGCACGACTCCGGAGGTGTTTTCTGGTGTCAAATTTTCACGGCTTGAGACGGGGTCACGACCTCCCTGCCTCACAGCAGCTGATGCGCAGGTTTAGACTCAACGCCCCCAAATGTCAGCAGGCAGTCAGACCAATGGATTTGAAGAGAAAGACCCTTTCAGAGAGGTCACCGTCCTGGGAGGCACTATGCAACAACAAAAAAATCCTCGTCTGACCCACAGAGCTTCCCTTCAGTTAGAGTTTTAAAGTCGTCAAGACTGTTAGGACTGTCATGTGTAAAAATATCAGTTCAAATCTCATCCCCTTTGTACATGAGCCTGTTTGTCTCACGTTATCTTTATTTTTATTTAATGGCTCAAACAAAATGACCAAGATCGATGTATGTTTTCTGCTATTGAGATAAAATAGCTCATTAAATTGAGACTGCAGAATTTATACAAGGGCCCTTCTTCAAGGATAAAACTGGCTCCCGCCACAGGAATGTGGAATTCTCACCACTGAATCGGAAAAAAAACTGTGATTGAGATGACCAACAACCAGAACTGTTTGATGGACACTATTTCACTTTGTTAGTGAAAAACAAGAGTAAACTCTTTATTATTATTATTAAGTTTGAGCCGTGCCAATGGTCATGTCTGCAAATGATGTCAGCATCTTGGACTTTACAGCAAAATTGCATTCTTTTCAAACAGCACCACAGAATTATTGTCTGGCTCTGGGATTTGAACCATTGACCTCATTCAAACTGCTTCATTGATGCGCACACTGGACACTCGGCAATCCAATGACCCAAAGCACCAGCCAACAAAGCTACGATAATGCATGGTTTAGTGGGTTTTTTTTTGGTATGGAGAGGTGTTTGGATATTTGTTTTTTTTATATATTACTGTGTGCCTATCCACACAATGACACTGATCTTGACACAACAACACAAACAACTTTACACCTTCATTCTTGAGTGGCATGTTCTCGTAGCTTTCCCCGAGGGCACAAGCGTGGATTCATTCTCCTCGGGAGAGTTTCCACTCTTAACATGATCTACACTATTCCAAATATATCTAAAATTGGATTCATGGTGGAGAACATGTTGGAGAAAATATCAGACAGTAACATCGTCATCCAACCAGAGGATGATTTAACTCAACACACTGATTACACTCACGCAGATTTTATATGTATAATTTAACGAGAATAATTGACAGCACTTTTTGTCAATCTACTGCCGAATGAAGGCCTCCCCATGTCATATCGGTCGTGGGGGTCGGTTGGTCATTATTCACAATGCCGTTGTGGGGAATTGCGAAGGGGGAAGGCCTATGACTGATTCTAATATCACTTGCCACCGATGTTAGCCATGTTTTGGAATCAAATTTGGGTCACCAGATTCACAGTGCAATGTGCTACCACAAAATTAGATACACGTCATCATCAGCCTTGGTCAATTCACCGATGGGTGAAAGTCTCCCCATGCTTGCCCCCATCTCTCGCAATCCTACGATGTAGTCATCCAACTTGCACTGGCACATGAGCTGATTTCATCACTCCGTCTGCTCGGTTTTATGTCTGTCAATTTACATATGATGTAATTTATTTTTCTACTCCATAGACTATTGTATTTACTTCCACACTGCATGAATTAATACATATATACATTATATCACAACGAGCTTCACAAGCCAGCTGATTTTTTTATATATAAAATTCCAGAAAAGGTTTTAATTACATTTTTGTTTAATAATTATGGTTAAAAAATTTTTTAAAGGACTGTACTTGTTTAAGCGACTCGGAGACTTTCCCAGTATGAAAGTTGAAACATATTCTGCTTCCCAAAGTCTTCACGTTCAACGTGAAGTTCTTCAAGAAGCATAGTTTTTCCCTTTTTTCTTGAATGGACAACATTTCGAAACGTCAACGTTTTAATTGCTCGTCAGAAGAAGAAAAAAAACATCTGCCTATTTCAATAACGCGCGTAAATACCCGCGTGAGAGATAGGAATCTGTATATGCTTAACGACATGAGGTGAAGTGATTTTTCATTTCATTTGGATAAGAGGAACCGAAAACATCAATCAAACCATGCACTTCGGTGCATGTAACGCTGCGCTTAACTACCATTTATCGAAAAAAAATGTCATCCGTCTGCATAGGCAGCAATTCAATAGGTCAAGGGATATCAAGTTATGCTGTCAATGCTGCTATACTTAGTAAATAAAATCCATCTCGTAGACCACACGCGTCAGCGGCAGGGAGCCTCTGATTGGGGTGGACAGTGAAGGAATCGTTGACCAAACAGTCATGTTGCTTTACGAAACGAATACCAATACCTTCGCGATACACTGATGCACAGAACACTAGATTATCAACGCCACAATTGAACAACAATAATCTGCCAGGGGGAACGCTTGGTTTGCGCACGCTCGACTGACAAGTGGAAAAGTTGGGCGAATTTATGTCCGAGTCTTCGGGTGACTCAGCTTATCATTGGTTCGGGGGTCAATGAATCGAGTCCCCAATTTGTGAAACGTCAACAGATGCGGGTTGCCCTCCACGGAGGCTGGTTGCTACGACTACGATTTGTGCTTGACTAGATTTTAAAAAAATCGGGGTCGTTGCGCTTTTAAAGCTCACCCGCAGCAGTCCGTGCCTCTGAAGGGGAGAAGTCAATGTCCATCTCGATCTCGTACAGCCAGGTGTGCGCCGAGGCACGCCAGGTGGATCCTTGTGGTCGCCACTCGGTCTCACGCCGCGCCTCGACTGGACACAGCTGTAGCAGCTGTCGGTCGGCATGGACGGCGGTGTTCTCCGGCGTCTATCGCCTCTCGGCGATCGCAACGTTGATGTTTCTGAGGCCCGGTATGTGCGGTTAATGCATTGTTATTAACAAGTTGAACCGTACCAGAGGGCCATCCATAAATGACGTCACGCACCTGGGGGGGGGGGGGGGTCAGACATTTGTGACGATGTGTGACAAGGGGGGGGGGGGTGAGAAATGTGACGTCACATCAAAATGCGCAACTTTAAATAACTATAGACAACACGTTCTACTTAATTAAATAGACTTTTTAATAAATGTTTTCTCCTACAACATCAGAGTGCAGCGCCACATTAAATACGCACTACAATGACAATAGGCAATTTGAAGCATATTCTTAGCTCTTTCGGTAAGAATATGAATTATTGCAGTCACGAAAGCTTTAAATCAAAATTTGAAGCATGTTTTATTTTGGGGGGGGGGGGGGGGGCAGAGCTTTGTGACGTCATATTTGAGGGGGGGTCTGACTTTTTGTGACGCCGTGTGACAAAGGGGGGGGGGGTAAAAAATCGTCCAAAATCGCGTGACGTCATTTATGGACGGACCCCAAGTAGGTTTTTGCAGCCTATTTATATTCCAGAATATTGTTTTTTTAGTTACTCCTTGAAGTGATCTGGACCCTCTACCACCCAGCAGAGCCAACCAATTAAAATTTTGTTCAACGATTTGAGGTGCCAATTATTTTTGTTTCATCCCACCGATAGTTGGAGAACAACTTCCTGTATTTTTATTCTGACTTCCTGAGTCGTGTCCTAACGATGTTTCACATAGTTTCAAATGAAACCCAATTATATAATTGCAAAGGTTATTGCTCTTCAACTTACTAATTGGCACGTTAAACGCTTGACAGTTAATTATTTTGGCTGTGCTGGGTGGTGGACTTAACGACACGAATTTGGTGATATCATTGCGTGGCCTAACCAAACAATCTATTACGAATCAATACCAACGCGTCAGTCGCTCTCGAGGTTCTGAGTAAACCGAAGCGTCAATGTCACTCGTTGACTGCCAGAGGGACGTTAACTTGTCACCACTCACTCAGGACCACGTCGTGCGCTGCACATTTCTTGTTTGAGGGGGCACTTTGAGTCCCCCACTCCCCTCCCCATTATTTTCAACTACTTTGTTCGCATACATCGTCCCGATTAAAAGTAAAGTTTCTCATGGGTAGAGCTATACAACAGGCTTCTGAATGACAAAATGTAAACTTTCGAGTATAAAATAACAGTCTGAAAACACACTCGCATTCTCCAACTTCTCTCCCCCAAAAAAGAAGAAACCAGACCAATCCCAAGAGTCAAAAAATAAAAATAATATAATTGGCTGCCTGTACCACTTACAGCTGAGAATCCAGATTTGTCGGGGTTTTTTTTTTGATAGCGTGAATTATCAGCATGGAACACACTCCTTCCTTCACTGGCTTCCACCGGGATGGGGAGGGCTGCGCGATTCATGAAACAAAGGCGCTTCTTTTAAGGTCCACTCCCCCATCACTTCAACATTTTAAATCTGCCTCAATTCCTCCTTATCAGGCACGGACAGGGCAGTGCCTATTACATCGCTGCTGGGCGAGGAGAAGGGTCCAAAGTGAACGGGATTAGTTATTTTGTTTTTTTGGCAGCGCGTCCCCAGCGATGCTTGTCTGCTAAGCAAAAAAATTAATACTCGCAGTATCATCCATTCTGACAACGTGGCACTCTGTTGCTAACATGTTTTAATTATCAGGATTCTAATGGTCACTTTAGCACATGCATTCGCAGAGGAATTCCCTTAAGTAAATTAAATAAATATTGTCACTTTCTTGGGTACATTCTGCATGATAAATAATATTTTTCTGGAAGAAGAAAAAAAGAAGTGAGTTCTTGGCAATGCTCCAATCTGCATAGGCAAAACCAACTATAATGTGGTCATTATACACAGACGGGGTTACTTAAAGGTGAATTAAGGTTAGGTGATGAATGTGGCACTTCATTTGAGGCTAACTGCACAACGTCCAAGGGGTATTTTGTTTAAAAGTTATTTTCAAGTCAGGAACAGTAAAATATTGCCAATTGTATATTGATACAATGATATTTAGTTGTTGATTTTTTTACATTGGCCTGAATATATTTATCACCAAGCTGTTTAAAGCATTCAAGTGTATACAGTGAGGGAAAAAAAGTATTTGATCCCCTGCTGATTTTGTACGTTTGCCCACTGACAAATAAATGATCAGTCTATAATTTTAATGGTAAGTTTATTTGAGCAGTGAGAGACAGAATAACAACAAAATCCAGAAAAACGCATGTAAAAATGTTATAAATTGATTTGCATTTTAATTAGGGAAATAAGTATTTGACCCCCTTTTAATCAGAAAGATGTCTGGCTCCCAGGTGTCTTTTATACAGGTAACGAGCTGAGATTAGGAGCACACTCTTAGATGCTCACCCCGAGCCCTCATTACTTTGATAGTGCATTGTCTTTAAGCTGTACGCCTTTTGGCATCATCTGGTCGAGCACCAATTGGGTCGAGGCTCAAAAGAAAGCCGTCCCTTGGTGTGGACCAATCAGTTTCAAGGACAATGCATATATTATCATAATATTTTTTTGTTTCCATTTTCACTGCAGGTATTGTGGTTAATGCATACATGAATCCTTGTAATAAGGTTTCAGTTTTGTTGCCAGAAAAAAGGGGAAAAACCCTATTATTACATTTTGGTACTGGAAAAAGAGGTCTAATGATTAAGATGACTTGGAGAAGATCTGCAAAGAGGAGTGGGACAAAATACTTCCTGAGATGTATGCAAACCTGGTGGCCAACTACAAGAAACGTCTGACCTCTGTGATTGCCAACAAGGGTTTTGCCACCAAGTACTAAGTCATCTTTGCAGAGGGGTCAAATACTTATTTCCCTCATTAAAATGCAAATCAATTTATAACATTTTTGACATGCGTTTTTCTAGATTTTTTTGTTGTTATTCTGTCTCTCACTGTTCAAATAAACCTACCATTAAAATGATAGACTGATCATTTCTTTGTCAGTGGGCAAACGTACACAATCAGCAGGGGATCAAATACTTTTTTTCCCTCACTGTATGTACTGTAAACATAGCTCGTCGGCAGGTCACTGACCAGCTTGGAAGAGTAGACCAAATACCCTCTGGAGAGGCTCTCCAGAGCTCCCTCTTGTGGAGGCTCTTCCACCAGCAGTGGCATGAGCCAGTAATTGCAGGGCTGCACATTTCCCATCTTTTATATACACTAGTCACAATGTAATTTTTGTTATCGTAGTATTTCAACATTACTAACGTCACTTTTCATAATTCACTGTGTGTGTATGCACGCGCATTCACTTTCAGATATGTAAAAGGACAGGCATTAAATAGTTTGATCGTGCTCAGCCAAACTTGGTATATGAATAAATAAAGACAGAGATTCTCTGATTAGACTTTGCACATCTGTACTTCATGACTCATAAAATAACGGTGAAAAAACCCCTACAAACTGCTAAACGAAGTGCAGGCGCAGCTGATGAACATCATTTCACGGCACGTGCACCACTCTGTGAGCCAGCAACGGAATGCCCGCGGTTGGTTGCATTCAAATTGTACATTTGGAGTTGACTTGAAATTGTTAATGTGCCGTCCCACAGGCAGGCGTTTACACGAACGCGAGTGGCTCCGCGGAGCGTAGACTCCCTGACACCTTGGCAATGCCCCCCTCCACCTCTCCTAGCCCCCCCCCCCTCAAACAAATATAAACTTACAGCGGAAAATTCGCGTCGTATATTTCAAAGAACTTGGGACATATTTTTCATTTCCATAATCACGTTTGAATGTAACATGAATCTATGCAAAATTTGCATTTTTTCTCTTAACCAAGAAGTATTTTTTTTCCCAGCCGAACACAATACCCACGGTCCGTGCAGCCGACGCTTCACCCACTACCCATGGGATTCATTCGGAATTTATGGCATCTCAGACCAACCATGTTAATTCCACCTTGAATTCCTGAGAGCAGGATTCACGGCTCCACTGGGATCTGAGGCGGTGCTGTGGTCACGGAGTGGCATGTTAACCGGCTGCCCTTGCAAGCTTGTAATATTTGTATTAGAATGCAAAGGTCTGTTGACGCTCCGTTATGTGTGAATGAGCAGATAAAAGGCGAAGCCCATTCGCGCACCTGATACCTAATCCCCCTGCAAGACTGCACCGAAATAAGTAATTTAACGAAATAAGAAACTACATGTATGTAATCATGCTTGTGTAATTTTGTAAGGACCGTAAACACTCCCACGGGAGTGTTTGGTGTTAGGTTGGGTACCCATGCTCAGCAATGGCGTCTCGACAGCATCATTTCCATGTTAATGAAAAGGGAAAATGAATGCCGCTTTCGAGATTTTACATCAAATCTGACATTCGTTTGAAGTGTGTTTTAATAAAAAAAAATCCACCAAAATTAGACCAAATAATTTAAATTAATCTGCATGATTGCATTTTTCAACATAGCAAGGTGTGTAATATTTGGAAATGACCATCGTTTCGGAGTTATTTTGAAATCACGCTAATAAAAGTGGCCTTTGTAAAAAAACAAAAGCACCGAACTAAAACATGTGCATTTAGAGCTAGTGTTGCGATGCATTTAAAATTGTGTCATTTCACGTGTTACTTTTATTTGTACCAATATCTAACTGTTCACTCACCTGTCCTAGAGCTACAATGTAACCTTCACAGTACAGTGCTTTCAAAAAGGACTCTCGCATTTATAACCATGTAATTACACTCACTAATACACACACACATTCCCCGCTTAGCATTGTATATACTGTCAGGGAACATGCTTTAGATCGCATTAATTTATATTTGAGGTATCCGCAGCCTTAATTAAAACTCATTTTTAAACTTAATTCGGGTATGGCTGCACGTGTGACTTCATCGTCAGTCGTTAATTCCTTCGCCTTCCTTTAACCCGGTCTCCATAGACCAATGAATGTTGTTGTTTGCCTTCATGGTCGATGGAGACCAGTTGGAAGGAGGGCAACTTAGCAACATCTGGTGATGAAGTCACACTTGCAGTCATACCTGAATAAATCACCTATTAATTTGCACGTGCGGCGGTAGTGGTGGTACCCATAAC